TAGTTGTTTTGAAAGATACAAATGAAGACTGTCAATCATATCGCCATTTTTAAGTTTTTAAAACTTTAAACACTATTAGATAAATACAGCTCAGAAGTCCAAGTATTTAATTAAATCAATGCCCCTGAAGTGCCCCTGTATTTGTATTCATAAATACTTTATATCTCACATTAAAATTGGGATGATCACAGATGTGGTTATATTTTATATGTTGCAGAAAGTCTAAACTGCATTTAGCTCAATCTTTTTAGCCTATATCTACTTTTGAGGTTGTATTTAACCTAAACTATCTAATTTCATAGACATATGTTTTTAAATACCTAATATTTTAAAATTATATTAGTAATTCTCACAAATTTATATATCATTCTTTGAACAGTTGTGACATCCCTGTCTTCTGCCAGAGTCTGATGCTTGGTTTTTCACTTGCTTTCTGAACACTTACCTGTTTGTTGGATGAGGTAAGGTATGAAGTCACATCCACCTGGGGATACAGGCCACAGCCCCTAAGGCAGGAGAGGCCTTAGCCAACCAAGCAACGACCCACCCTGGGGATAAAGAAGAGTGAGCAGATGCAAGAAACATCTCGGTGGCTTAGGCAGCTCAGGTTGCTGTAGCAGAATTCCATAGACTGCCAGCTTGCACAGCAATTTACCTCTGGGGGTGGCTTGCAGACAGCCACCTTCTTGCTGTGTCCTCACATGTCAACCTCTTCCTATTCTTATAAGGGCACTGAACCCATCATGAGGACCAACCTTCATGACTCATCTAAACCCGATCACCTCCCAAAGGTCTCACCTTCAAACGCCATCACACCAGGATAGGCCTTCAACATAGGAGAGGACACAGCAGTCCGTTCATAGCACTACAGGACAGGCAGCACTTGGTAACTGGTGAACAGGAAAAGGAAATACATGGGTCCAAAGCCCGTGTACTGAAATGGCAAACAGGAGGAGGCCCATTGGTAGAAAAGTACCTTCTGGAAAGTGCCCAAGATTTTCCAGGGGGAGTGTCCACTTAGCAGCCAGAATCATAGGCCTATATTTCCTATGGGAAGAGGCAGACCAGAGAGGCAGGTGTGACAGAAGTTAAGATGGCCAATGAGTGAGAGAGTGAAGGAAGGGAAGAAGAGTGAATGGCAGGTCACTGGGGGAAGCCCATTCAGAGGGGTCAGGAGGGGATATCAGGATTAATAAATGAAACTAGGAGTGCATATACAGGAGGCTGAATCATGGCTTCCAAAAATTTGGGATCCTATTCTCTGGAATCTATAAATTTTACCTCCTTTGCAGGTGTGATGCATTTATGGGTCTTGATGAGATTTTCCTGGACTGTCCAGGTAGATTCTCCATGTGGTCATCCATGTTCTTAGAAGAGGAAGGTAAAGGGGAGATTTGACACACAAGATGAAAGGCAATGTGACCATGGAGACAGACATTGGAAAGATGCAGCTACAAATTAAAGGATGCCAATAGCCATCAGAAGCTGGGAGAGGCAAGGAATGATTACCCCTAGGATCTCCAAGAGAGTGTGACCTTGGTTTCCATCCAGAGTGACTTATTTTGGACTTCTGACCTCCAGCACTGAATAAGAATAAATGTATGTTGTTTTAAGTCACTCAGTGGGTGATCATTTGTTGTAGCAGTCATAGGAAAGTAATATAGCATGCTCAGAACACTAGATTGGAGGAGAAACAGAAGAATATGGGGTTGTCCCAGAAGCCACCAACAGAGACAGCTTGAGTTGAGAGGAGGTGTGGCCAATGGAAATGCATGCTACATCATGACTGAGAAGAGAACCTGGGATCTGATGAGGCAGATTTCACCTGGGAGGGGGGTGGGACACAGGACAGATTGAAGGACCCAAGGTATGAATCAGAATTGGAAAATGGAAGAGTGGGTAATAGACAAGGAAAGACAAGCATTAGAGCAGACAAGGGAAGACAAGATGACAGAGGGTGGTAGAATCTTTTTTATAAAACAAGCACATGTTTAAATTTATGAATAGTGCACAAAGGTAAAATTAAATTTTAAGACTTACTCCATCTTTGCTTTCTGCCCTGGTCCTCAGTTGGTCCCCAGAGGCACCCTACATTTTTAGTGCATACAAACTAAGCATCCCTAATCTGAATTCCAAAATGCCCCAAAATCTGAAAGTTTTTCACTGCTGACATGATACCACAAGTGGAAAATTCCACTTGATCTTAGCCCAAACACTGAAAATATTGTATGAAATTATTTTTGGACTATGTGTATAAGGTGTATATGGAACATAAGTAAATTTTATGTTTAGACATTGGTCTCATTCCCAAGACATTCTATTATGTATATTCAAATATTCCAAAATCCAAACATGTCTGAAACAGTTCTGGTTCTAAGCATTTTGAATAAGGGATACTCAACTTGTACTACTGGAAAGAATTTTACAATTCAACAAATAGACTTCTATACCTAAGACCCTGTTGTCAGACACACAGATAATTTCCATGTTTCTACTATAAAAACAGTGTTGTAGCAAGCATCCAGGAAAATATGTCTTGAAATACTGGGTCTAATATCCACAGGTAGATTCCTGATTAAAGATTATTATCGTTCTGATACGTAGTGTCCAAATGGCCCATAGAGTTTGTCTACTTTTTTGTCTCATACCTTTTGATTGTACCTGTTTTCCTGTACTCTTAACTGAGATTTGTATAAACCTTTTAATTTTTGCCCATCTGCTAGATGAAATACTATTGTGGTTTAGATTACTTTAATTATGAGTGATGCTGTGAATCATTTAATACGTTTGCTGAACATTTTCTTAGGTGAATTGCCTCTTTTCACTCAACATTTTCATTCAATTATTTGTGGAAAGTTTGCATTCAAACGAACAAATTCTACATGTAATAAAGTGACCGAATCCTACAAGCATCACATAGAGCAAAAGGAGCCAGATGCAAATGAGTGTACACAGTAAGATTCCTGTATGTGAAGTTCAAAGACGAGGCAAAATTCATTCTGGAATTCTAAAGGGGACAGTGGTTTATCCTTGGCAGAGTAGAAGTGACTAGGAAGAGAGTCTGGAGGGACTACACAGGAAGTGTTTGTAGGTAATGTTTTGTTTCTCATCCTATTTGCTAATTACACAGGTGTTTTCACTTTGTGAAAATATATTGAGCTTGCTATAATTTGGACCTTAAAAGTCTCCCAAAGGTCCTTGTGTTGGAGGTCTGGTCCCTAGAGAGTCACTGTTGGGAGGTGGCGAGACTTTTAAAAGGCAGGAGACCAAGTGGGAGGTCTTCAGGTCTGTGGGGGTGTGCCTTTGAAGGGGATAGTGGGACCTGAGCCCCTTCTTCACTCTCTTTTTTTGCTTCCTGGTCATGAGGTGGGCTGTTTTGCTGCTTCATGCTCCCAGTGGGATGTTCAACCTTGCTGAAAGCAACAGACCATCTGATCATGGGCTGGAATCCCTAAAACTATGAGCAAAGTACACTTCTCTCTCCCTGAGTTGATCATCTCAGGTGCCTGACACAGAGTCCTGTGCTTGCAATGTGTCCATTTCTCTCCCCATGTTAGACCTCCAGTAGAAAAGAAAAGTAAGGTCTACTTTTTAAAGTAGTCTTGGATGCTTTCATGTGCCAGACACTGTAGACAGGTCGGGTGAGGCTCCTGATCTCCCAGACTTGAGTTCAAGAACAAGATGAAGCACGTTGAATGCTTCACGTGGTGCTTGGTGGAGAAGAGCACCCAGTGTGTTAGCTGGAGGATTCATTTTAGAGTGAGGAGCAGCTGAATGGTGTGCGTGCACAGAGACCTGAAGGGTGTGTCACATGGCCAGAAGGACAGACACTATTTAAATCCACCGTAGAAAATGAGGCTTCGCTGGAAGCAGGAGTGGATCAGCAGCAGCTGGCAGAGGACCTAAGTGAAAGGGACCAAAATCGGTGGAGAATCCACAAGGGTCCCAGAAGGGCAGGAGAGCTCACTCAGCTTCCTCTCCACCCCTCCCACAGTCCTTCAGCTACCCACAGCCACCTTTCGGTCTGATGGCAGTGCGGTTCCACTGTGGTACCATTCGGGAGATGTGTGCTTAGGGACCAGGACTTGGGCTGAGGATGGAACTGTCTGACTGTGGCACTTTCCTCACGGTTTGGCCTGATGGCTCAGAACAGATTGGGTTGTGGGACACCCATAGCCAGCTTTTGAACATTCAGGTGTTGATACTAAGAGTTCGTTCAACCATGCTGGTCTCCAGTCATGCCGAGCCACCCTGGGTCTGGGTGGGACATCAGAGAGTCTTGCCCCTCAGTTTCTATCTGAGAAATGGAGGCAGACAGGTCATTCTGATCACAAAGTGAGTAGGAGACGAGGTGCCAGCACTCAGGGCTCTCCCTTGTCCCTCCTCCTCCCACTCCATCCTGCCAAAAAATGTTCTGTAGAGGAGGTTAGGGACAAGAGTTCCTTATTGAGGGAGGGAGCTTGAAGCTGCTTTTCCACACAGCCTTTTATTTGAAATTGAGCAAACAGGTACCTGCATCAAAGAACGAGGTGCTGATGGAGAAGGGGTGGCAGTGGCACTAAATCCCTTCCAACTGTTCCATTTCCCACCCTGAAGGCAGCCAGAACCTCTTTTTATTACTGAAGAGCCCCAGGTCTTCCCTGAGCTGCCAAATGAAAAAACTTTTGCCTTCAGTTTCAGTCTTTAATGGGCACAAGGAGACCCTGTTAGAGGTGAAGCAGGAGCTCACAGAGGCCTGCAGAGGAATGATCATGACCATGATCTAGGGCTCCTTTTCCTCCCTGGGTAGCTCAGCCCTCACTGGGGCACATGCTTGCTTGTGAAACCCAGCCCTGTGCTCCCCTGGGCTCCAGTGCCCCACACAGAGGAGGGGAAGATGACAAAAGTGTTCGTTCTCAGAGGCCTGACACTGGTAGCTGTAGGGTGGGAGGCTGGCAGGAGAGCCTGGCAGGAAGCTGACTTGCTGCCAGAGGTTTGATCCTGCCTTCCTTCTGTTTCAGGAGAGGCTCAGAAGCAGGAAGGAGATGAAAGTTGTGGCACTGCCGAGGCGTTGACAGCACCTGAGGATACTGGGAGGCCCGCTGTCAGCTCCCCAGCAAACACGAGCCACGGGAACCAACACAAGCACTTTCATCATCCCTCATTACCCCAGTTACCTTCTGAGGAGGAAGAAGTCAACAGGCTTGGAAGGGAAGTAATTAAACTGACAAAGGACCAGGTGGCTGTGGAACTGAAAGGGGTCCAAAGAGAAAGTCCCATGGAGGGGCAGAGGAACCAGCCGGGGCTGTCCCCACCCAGCCTGTCCTGCAAAGGGGAGCTTCCCAGATCTCTCCTGGGTGACCTGGAGTCCACCCAGTCTACACTGAAAGATGACAAAGAGATCCCAGAGGGCAGAGACACCAGAAGCGCCACGCAAACATGAAGAGCAGGGACAATACAGTGACACTTGAATGAAGCAGCAGCGCGCACACCCAAGTCGCTTGCCTCTTAAAACCCCTCTGCATCTGCAAATGAGAAAACACTGTCCTGCCACAGTGTTAATAAATCGGCCTGATTTATTAAACCCGGGTCCTCAAGCTTCTCTGTGTCATCTCCTTTTGCCCATGACGTACGTGCACTGCTGTGAGCATGGCCAGGCCGGGAATCGCAGCTGCCATATGGCTGGTTTTTGACATCCGTCTTTCTGTCAGCATTTGTTTTATTAGAGATAAGATGTTTTTCTATTAGCATTTAATGTTGTCAATCAAAATTATAGGAAGAGAGCTGGAAACGGATGGGGTTTTTAATCAGGTCTCTGTCTTGGTGATAGGCAGCTGGAGAGGAGGGTGTAATTGAACACAATGTGTCCACAGGGCGGGCAGCCACACTTCATCAGGTCAGGGCCCAAAGGACCTCCAGCATGGGGGTTCTTGGCATCCCATCAGCTGCACTGCCTGTCATGGTGCCGACTGGCAGGTGGAGAGGGACTCAGGCAGGCCAGGGAGGTCAGGCTCCAGCAAGGAAATGGCCCTGTCGAGGCTGTTTGCTGATGACTATGCTGCTCCAGCCTGAGTCTGCAGGATTAATTGGTCTGAAGTGATATGGAGGGAGGGACAGGGGACTCCCCAAGGTGGTCTGATTCCATGTTTCTGAGCTGAACTGAGAACTGGAAGGAGAAATGCTGATTCTTTCTATCCCACCTGTGCCACCTGTACAATCTTATGGTCATTTCAGGTTTGGATAAAAGCTAGTTGCTTAGGTCAGTCTAGTTTCCTATATGGCCTGAAACCTTGAACCCTTTACTCCTTCAACAGAATGTCACTGTGTGCCACCAGAAAAGACACAGAACTCATGGCCCTCTAGGGGAAGGAGAGACAAAAACAACATGGCATCATTACAGCTCAGTGCAAGGAGGGGCTATGGAACCAAGTACAAGGTCCAAGGGCAAGAGTGAACGATCCATCCTACCTGGTTCTTCCCCTAGGGGGGAAAAGAGCTATTCTAGGGTGACATAGGGGGTGCAGAATATTGTAGGATCATGGAACCACGGGCCTTCCTTTGCACTGGGCTCGGTTCATTTCCCCAGAGGGTCTGAACCAGATCCCAAAGCACAGAACCCATCTGAGAACCAAAATCACATGCTTGAGATGCCCTCCTGCAGGAAAATGAGAGGCTCTCAGGGTTGCCATTTCATTTTAAATCCATGTCAGTACCCTGGGGACAAGGTGACACCCTTGATTCCTGACCACAGGGACTCCAAAGCTCTGTTCATACCTCTGTATTCCAGTCTGTCCTCTGCCTCCCGGGTCCACTCTTTATTGTCCCCTCAGGGGAGGCCACTGCCCCCACTGCAAGCCCTCACAGGCCAGCAGCCCCAGAATAACTGACCACACAGGTTCAGCTGCACAGGACACCAGAGCCACCAAAGGGAAACCCAGCCAAATTTAATACAGTGATAAAAGAGAGAGAACTCCTACTCCATGGAAGCTCTGGTTTTGACACGTGGGCAGCATCTTCAGGGCTCACTCTTCACCCTCTGGAAAGCAGGGTTTAGAGTAAACTCCAGCCCCTCCTATCAGGAGCAGGAGGATGGCAGTTAGTCCAGAGGGTCTGGACTTTGGGGAACAGGGGCCATAGGGAGTCAACTTAAACTTGGCGTGGAGCCAGTCTGGGAAGGAACCAATGAGTTGATTCTGTCACATACATACTATGACAACACCCCATTCCCATATGTGAAGCCATTCCACCCCTGCTGTCACCACCACCGTGCTTCTGTTCTGTATACATTAAAGAGAGTTCCAGCAGCTACTTTTGGCTGTCTTTTGTCTTCTTAAGAGTTGTAAAAACATGTAGCATTCTCTTCCCAACTCCATCAGATAGCTTCGAGTCATGGTGCACTAAGTATCAAGGCACATTTACGGAAACTTACACAACAGGGCAGGGAATACCCTTGCATGACCAGAACTTCTGAAGTAGGGCATCCAGGACCGGTTCGCTAGTGAAAGTCTTCCTGGTTTGCTTGCTTCTGTCACTCCCTTCTGATACCAACGCAGCTGCAGCAGCTCCAGGCATCACCTATCCTCACATAGGCTCAAAGGTAACAGGACATTTCTCCTCACATATACGTGTGTGTTTTAAGAGCATGAAATCCAGTTCCTGCCACACTTCATTGGTCAGAATCGTCACCTGCCTATGTGACTGTTTCACATACCTAAATCTAAATCAGTCCCTAGAAAACCGTGATGAGTTTAGGTTCAGCAAGACTTACCCTCAGAATTGTCTGTACACACACAGCCATTAAATAGGTAACTGTGAAAACAAAATCATCTTAGAGTGCAGGAGAGGTGGGGATTAGGTGCGAGTAGACTTGACTGGGCCGTCAATGGTTTTGTCTCTGAATGCACACGGACCTTTTTTTTTTTCTTGCTTAATCACCCAGAATTGTGTTGCCAGGGAGTTTAGAGTTGGGGAGGGGCCATTGTTAAGAAAAATGCCATTCCCTCCCCACCCTGCTCTTTATGGCAGGCCCTGATTTACAGGTAGACGCTCCGACTCTGTTGCCTCCACAGGTGTGCTCATTCCTCTATTATCTTTCCAGCTCATGTGCATAATTGAAACCCAGCTGACAGGCCTCTTAAGGAAGGCATGTTTGCACACTGGGCATTTCTTGTGATCACTCGGTACCTGCGAGCCCCGTAGGTGTGGATTTTTACATATGGGTGTTTGTCTTTCTTTTAATTAAGGCCTGTGGAAATGGATTGGTGTTTGTAAAGCAGGCATTTCTCATCCCTAACTCCTTCCGTTTTCAGGCCTCTCCTGCCTACCTTCAGCTCCTCCTCCCTCTGCCATCTTCTCCCACAGCATCCCCCAAAGCCTGGCTCACCAGGTGGCTACTGATGGCGCTCCCATGGGTCTGGCTGGAGCCACCTCCCACTGGCAACCTTAAGTAAACTGAATTACTTGCTTCTCTTCCAGGCCCTCACTCCCAAACACACCCCCGTCACAACATGAAGTTGTAGAAAAGGGCTCTGCTTTCAGGTGTTCACATATTGGAGTGAATTATTTGACATGTTCCACCCCTGGGAATTCTTGCCCCCTAGCCCACTGGATGGCATGAGAAGTTCCATCCTCTTTAAAGAATTTCAAAGACAATGGACATGCGTACTGAAATAGTCTTCCCTGTCTGTTTGGACTGGCAGCATGCCTTTGTCTTTCATAGTTTTCTGAGCCTCCAAAAAGAAAGGCTGCTTCACTGTCTTCCTTCATGCCTGCAGGTGATGGTATCCACTTCTCTCTGGAAAAGGGCTCTCTCTGAACACTATGTCACTATGCTTTCTGGAAGACTTCGTTTGCAGCAACCCTCCTCCCTAACACAGAGGGCACCTTCAGATGGCTCCAAGGTGGAGGTCCAAAAGTCCAAGCCAACTCACTACTTTAATATATTCCTTTTTCCCCGAATGGCTTTCTGTACAGAGAGAAATGCTAAGGCCAGAGATATGCAGTTGGGAGTTCAGTAGTGAATCTAATTAGAAAGAGAAGCAGAAAAACAGGAGGACTCGCCTCTCCAGATTCTGGTTGCTCACCCAAACAAAACAAGTTGATACAGCATGAGGGCAATTTGAAATGACAGATATAGATGTGCAGTCGAACATTTCACAACACTTCTTTACTAAGTGAGAATTTTTCTTTTGGATGTGTAGGGAAGTCTGCCCAATGAGGAAAAGTTTCACTTTGAAGAATCTTGTGACTTCAAGAATATAGTCTTGAGCTGGGCGCCCATGGCTCCCACCTGTAATCCTAGTTACTTGGGAGGCAGAGATCAGGAGGATCGAGGTTCAAAATCAGCCTGGGCAAATAGTTCAAGAGACCTTAACTCAAAAAATACCCAACACAAAATAGGGCTGGCAGAGAGGCTCAAGTGGTAGAGAACCTGCCTAGCAAGCATGAGACCCTGAGTTCAAACCCCAGTACTGCCAAAAGAAAAGAGAGCACAGTAGTCTGGGAACTCAGCTGAGGCCAGAGGCCAGGGATAACCAATTAAATGTAAAACAACTGATATATATATATATATATATATATAAAGTTGCGCTTTTGTAGTTTTATGTTTAAAAAAAGAAGTAGCTTCTATCCTTTTGCAGACTTTACTGTTTGGGATTCTATGGTTGTTGTGTATCTTAAGTATCTTTTTTGCTACCTGAAATAAAACTGTGATAATTTTCCTAAGGTAGATGATTAATTATCTATATTATCTGTATCTTTTTCCCTCTTAACCCTCACCACCGGCCAAGCATAGGTTAAGCAGCGCTTCAGAACAGAGCAATAAAGTACCAGTTGCAATCTGTCACCTAAAATTATTTGATCACATGGTAGTCATGAAAAAATATGGAGAATGTAAAGATTTTATGCATTCAGTCAAAAAAAAGGCAGCTCTAAAATCAGTTGGTTTATTTCCTGCCGTCTTTCAAGTTGACCAAAGTGCTCACTGATTTGCTCTATTTTCTTACGTTTTTAGTATTTCTGTGTATATGCACTAAAAGCTCCACTCGGAGAAAAAAAATGCACTGCAATTCTTAGAAAAAGCTTATCCTCAAACATCTAAAGATAGCATTTCTAATTATCGTCTACATTGTGTTTAAAGTATGCAGACTGGAGCATTATTCTCACTTTCCCAGCTGTGTCTAGGTATAGTCATTACATCAAACGCTTCTAATTTTACAAAAAGAGATCAAAACAAGTGTGTGTTGAAGGCCCGGTGACAAATGCGAATGCCGTGCGTCAAAGAGGCAAACTGGTTAGCAAGCTGGCTGGAAAGTCAAAACAGCAAATACAGGATTAACAGAATGGATGTGTAAGAGGAAGGGAGTGAAAATAGACCCCAGGAGCCAAGTGGGGTGCAATGGGCGAGCTTGGTGGCACACATAAGGGTCTGTGCCAAGAACCAGATGGCTGCCTTATGGTCACAATCTTCCCCTCTGAGGACCCTTCCGCCAAGAGTTGGAACTGCGGGTTCATGTCAGCCAGCCTCTGGGTAAAGGGAAAAATCCTTCTTAGAAACCTCGGAGGGTCCAACCTTTCCTTCACTCAAACCCTCTGGTTACATGATATCATGGCCTTATATGATTGCCCAATTAATTAATTTGGTAGCTATTTTTCTGACGTTAGCCATTGTTACTAAATTGACATTAATTAGAGTCTTATTGAAATGCATACTTCAATCTGGAATAACTCCTGACTCAATCCTCAGAACAATCTGGCCTGATGATCTTATTTTACAGTTAAGAAAACTCAGGCTGGGAGGTTAAGTGACTTGTGCAGCTCATACTGCAAGGAAGCACAGTAGGCCTTCTCCCTGACCTGGAGCTGTCAACTGCCATGCCCCCCGCATTCCTTTACTCTGACAGTGAGCTCCACTGACCCTGCTCTTCTTAGCTCTGGAGGCCAGAGGCAGGTGTCAATCTCACTCCCATTACAGGATAGACCAGAAATGGAATGGTGCAGCTAGTGTGTCCCCTCTGTCCCTGTCTAGTGATCCAAGGACAGAGAAGGGGATAAGTGAGGAGAGGCACTGTCTCCTCCCAAACACAGCCCAACCCCCTCCCTCCATAGTCTGGGTCAACCATAACCCAGAGGGAAGATGGACCTACCATGTTACTCCTGTCCCTGTATGTGCCCACATAATTGCTGCCTCTATGCTATGGAGACGCAAACACATCCAGTAAGATCAGGATATTTGAAGGTCCCCATTGATAACTCCCTTTAGGGCTAACCTGTAAGCTTCAAGTAAATATTTCAAACCAGGAAGAACCAGTTGGTGGAGCAAAGTCACCAGTCTTTGTCTCCAGTTGTCACTAGGGTTCAAGGAAAGGTTTGAAAATAACAGTCCTAGTTTGAGGTAAAAATAACCTCTGGGGTGGGTTCCTGGCTGGGGTTCGGTTTGAGTCACTGCCTGATGGGTGTGGGAGAAATGGGAGCTGAATAACCAGGCTGGAAAGGCATCGCTTGGAAGCAGGTCCGCCCTGGGTGCTAGAAGTTACAGGTCCTTTTACTGGGTAAATGAAGGTGAATACATACAACTGTTCTAGTCTATGTCTAGGTCATGCTTTCCGAAAGATAGCTGTAACCCCACAAGCCCTAACCAAAAGCAGCTGCCCTTGAAACTCACTGCTACCATCTGCCGGCTCAACTTTTGTCCCGGTCATGGAAAGTTGACAATTTCAAATGCAACATCAACCACCTGGAACTTGTCGGGTCACGGGTGTCATGAGCAATGTCAGTGGCTCTACCAAGTAGGATAAAGGCTGTCCTCAAAGCAGATGGGAGAAGCCACCAGCCTAGGTGGGTGGGTACCCACCTCTTCCCTTCCAGGCCAGTGGCTCCAGTGTTGGCATCACTCACCCAGTCCTTGGTCTGGGATGAGTAGTTGTTAAGAAGATGGATGGATGGATAAATAAATAGGTAGATAGACAGGTAGACTGACTGATTGATTTAAACTTCTTTGCCTGACTTTGGTGACACCCATCCTGGAGTCACTCTAAAAAGCTCAACAATCAGTGACTTACATTATTCATGTTGGGGAGGGGAGACTAAGAAGACCTGCGGGACGTGGGAAATATCTTTTTGCCACCTCCAAAATAAAGTAAAATAAAATAAAATAAAAAGCTGAGCCTGGAAGAGATGACTCAAACAAACAAAAAAAGGTCAGAAGGCCCGGATGCAGGACTGACTCGCTGCGTTTTTAATGTGCAACAAAGATTGCCAAGCATGCCCCAAAGGAGTAGTTGGGGTGTGTGTGTGTGGGGGGGGTGTTTGGCGGTGGCAGTGTTTGGTAAACAGCTGATGGGGCAGCAGGGGGCCTGACTTCAGGTCTCACGGCAGGAGCAAGCGGTGGTGGGCAGGGACTGGCAGCATCAGGATGGGTCTCACAGTGCCTAGGAGGGACATAAAGGGGAAGAGGGAGGTCCTCAGGGCATGGGGGGGTTCCAGGGCTATAGGTGGGGGCTAGAGACCGGGGGGGGGGGAAGGGGTCTTCAGGAGGGAATCAGGGTGGACAAGGTATTTCAGTACATCTGAGGTGGGCCTCGGAGCCCTCAGAATGGAAAAGAGTGGGTCAGCACACGTGGCTGGAGGAGGTCTCAGGGTAGAGGACACTCTGGGAGCAAATGAAAACTCCAAGGTCCAGGGGCACATGATATTTTCTTCGGACAGAGGGATTCTTGGGGTACACGGGTATCTTGGGGCTTGGAGGGGCTCTCGGGGTACATGGGAGTGTCTCAGGGGCTCCTAAAACTGGGGTGTCTTGGGACACAGATGAGCTCTTGGGGTACATGGATGTATCTCGGGGCTCTTGGGGTTACATAGTTGTCTCGGGGTGTGAAGGAGCGCCAACGGCACACTAAGTATACCTCGGGGTATGGAGGGGTCTCCAGGTAAATGGAAGTATCTCGGGACAGAGGGAACCCGGAAGCACGGAGATGCCGGGGGAGGGGGTTGACGCAGGCGTCTGGGGACACCGGGCCCCGGGCACGCGGCGGGCAAGCTCAGGCAGTCGCGCACCCGCTCTCGCGCCGCCGCTTCCAGCGCTCTGCGTGCTCCTGCGCCTGGCGCGCCCAGGGCGCGGAGCCGCTGGCACCCACCACGCAGCAGGCGAGCCGATGGCCTGCGTTGCCGTGCTCCAGGCTGGCCTGGGTACCGCCGCGGCCAAGGTCGTCCTCGCCGGCGTGGACCACGACGGCGCGGCCCACGATCGAGTGCGGGCCGGCCAGCGAGGCGGCCAGGCCAGCGCGGTACTTCCAAAGGCGGCCGTCGCGCACCATGAAGTTGCCAAAGTCGCCTGGATGCTGCGGATGCGCCACCGCCAGCGGGTTGTAGTGGGGCCCCGTGGACTCGCATCCCTGGCTCAGGTCCCCGAACCGGTGCACATGGATGGCGCGGCTGGAGCTGTTCGGCTCGGCCGGGAAGCCCTCCAGGTCGAAGAAGGCCTCGAGCTTGGTACCGGGCCCCTGCTGCCGGAAGAGGATCAGGCCGGTCACCCGCGGCTGCGCGGCGTCCAGCGTGGCGGACGGCTGCACCCGGCACACGGCGTGGAGCCCTGCGTCCTGCCCGCCATCTGCTTCCCGCCGCTGCGTGAGCGCGCGCCAGATCTCCATCACCTTGGCGTACATGTCGCGGATCTGCGCTGCCAGGTCCGAGCTGGGCTGCCCCGGGCCGGGGACGTTCCAGGTGTCAGAGCACCGGGCCGCCAGAAGCAGGCAGCAGCACAGCAAAGCCAGCATGGTCGGAGTTGGGCACCTGAGGAGTGCCCCCGCGGGGCAAAGGGACAAAGCAAGTCTTAGTCACTTAAAAAAAAAAAAAAAATCTCAGGCACTCGGTCATCAGATGGAGCACCCCACCAAGTCCCCAAGGGGCTTCCTGCCCAGCATGCATGCGTTCATTTGGCAAATGATTCTGCCAACATAGGGTCGGCTGTGTACGAGATGCCGGGTTAGACGTAGTTTGCAAAAATGGCTAAGACCCCATCTCAAGACACCAAGTGGTCCAGGTCGCAGGTGATCACAGTCCTCAAGTTCTGTTTCCAGAAAAGGGAGAGTCTGAGGGCCGGTGGCGGTGGTGGTGGTGGCATGACTCCGTCCCTCCCAGACCCTCTCTCTCCTCTCCTCCTTGCCTCCTGATCTCTTGCCATGCCGGTTCTACATCCCTCCAGTAGATAGATTTGTTACTCCCTTCCTTTTTTTCTTTTTTGTGGTACTGGGGTTTGAACTCAGGGCTTCACACTTGCTAACCAGGCGCTCTACACTTGAGCCACTTCACCAGCCCTTTTTTGTGTTGGGTATTTTGAAGATAAGGTCTCCGGAACAATTTGCCCCTGCTGGCTTCAAATCATAGTCATCCTGATCTCTGCCCCCTGAGTTGCTAGGATTACAGGCATGAGTCACCAGTGCTCTATATCTCCTGTCTTCTTGGTCTTTGCACGTGCTCTGCCCTCTCTCTAAAGTACTGGACTCTGGTTCCCTGCCATACTCAGGAGACTTGGAGCTTACAGATAGAAACTCAGTTTTATTGGTGGGACTCCCCAGCACCTGGGCCCATACCAGGCAATAGGAGACATACAATGTTTGTTGAATGAAGACACATTCAACAATGTGAAGGAAAGGTTAGTCACCACACTCCAACCATCCTATGATTGAACCTGGAGCCCTGTGCTGGATAGGACAGAGGAAGTCCTGCCTATCTCCTTTGGGACTCCAGGAAGGCTTCCCAGAGGAGGTAGCTTTGGTTGGGTTCCACAAGATGTGTAGATTTCTAACAGAGCCAGATGGGAAGGCCATATCTGGCAGGAGGCAAGGAAGGACTTGTTCACTGCTGTGAAAGGGCACAGTCTGGGGCTTGGGAGAAGTTCATGCTGGAGCATGGCCTTTGCGACCTCAGGACTGAAAGCCTGGGACAGAGGTCCTGGGTATGCTGTGCTAAGGAGTGTATGTACTGGCTGAGGGCTTGAACTAATGAACTGCTTGAGAAGGGAGATTTTAAAATCTCAGTATTGTACATTGCAAAAGGCTAGAGGACAGGATTTGAATGTTCTTACCGTGAAGAGGCAGAAATGCTCACCCTCCCTCATTGGGACATTTTGCAATACATACAGGTATAAAAACATCCTGTTTCCATAAAAGGATGAAGGCTGGATAGAGAGGGGCAGTGGGGCAGTCTAGGGACAGAGACACCAAGTCACAGAGTAGAGACAGGCTCAGAGAGTGGGTCACAACGACCCAAGGCAGAAAGGACAAAAGCTTTTACCAATCCAAGGTGGCAAAAGAGAGGAGGGGTGGGTTTGGTAGCTGGCAGAGGGGAGGGAGACGATCAGCTTTGGGTGACTGAGGTGCCCAGCAGTGGTGCCTGAGTGGGTGGATGTGGTTTTAGGCCCAAGAGGGAGGCAGAGAGGATGCCTGAGGCCTGAGCCTGCTGGGGTGAGATGCTGGTGGGTGCCCCAGTGGGGACAGGTGAGCAGACATTGGAAAACTGGTTCTGGCACTTGGAAGGACGAGAAGTTGGCTCAGTGTTGACTACACATCAGATTCTAGTTTTTAAAAATCAGATGCCCTGCCCCCACCCAAGAGATTCTAATTCAGTGGCCTTGTTGATTATTTGCTTTTAGTAGGAAAACTCGTAAGGTTTTCAAAGAAAAAAACTCAAAGGTTCTGAGGCCCAGTCAAAGATTGCAGAGTCAGGTTCAAATGTGAATCTCAATTACAACCTGCATAGTCGGTCTTCACTACCTGGGGACCACTGGTTCCAGGAGCCCCTGGACTCCACGATCCGTGGATACTCTGTAAAATGGTAGAGTATTTGTGTGGAACCTGCACACACCCTCCCGTCTACTTTCAATCATCTCTAACTGTTCGTTATACTTAGTTCTTTCTCTGTTGGGAAATGTGACGGGGAAAATCTGCACATGCTTAGATCAGATGCATGGTGTTCGAGCATTTTCCATCCAAGGCTGGTTCAATCCACAGATACAGAACCCGACAGGGAGGCTGACTACACTGTGACTTCATCAGGCCACCTGTACAATAAGGCCAGTCATGACATCAGAGGACTGCAGTGAGAGTTAAGTGAGCTATTTATAGACCAGGCTACTTCCACACACTGAAATCTACCCAGGGATTAAGGAACCTCCAAGAATTCGTTGGAAGGTCAACTAAACTTAATGGTTGAGTGTCACCATTACAGAAAGGCACTTTAGCTCTGTGATTAGGAGAATGGATTCTGGGACACAGCTTACCAGCACCTACACTTAGGGCTAGCTGTCATTGTCATTTCTATGACAATGTAGAGCAGTACAGTAAATGCTGGACTGCAGATTGTGAATGAGCCTACCTCTCAGAGCCTCAGTTTTCTCATCTGTAAATAGGGGTAGTAATATTTACCTTACACTCTTGCTACCAGGCTTAGCAGAGATTGTTAGAATGGCTAACACCTGTTGAGTACACAGACCAGGTGCTGATAAAAGCCTATGGCATGTGTTCATTTCTTCATTCTTCTAAGAACCCTGTGAGATAGGTACTATCCAGATTCCAACTGGCAGTGAACTGAGGCACAGACTTAGTCCCAAGGTCACACACTTACTCAGTAGCTGTGAAAGTGTCTGAAAGTCTAAGGTCTGCTGGGAGCAGGCTCAGGCTCCTCACCAAATACCTCTAATTAGAGGAGCTGCCGGTGGAGATGTCAGGACCATCAGTTGGGAGAGGCTGTAGAAGCCATGGAAAGAGGAGGCGTCCAGGAAAGACTCAGGGAGTCTGGAGGCAGCTGAGAGGGGATGCAGGGAAGGTAGCATCCAGGCACCCACACCTGTCATGGCCCAGTGTGGCCCTAGTACTAAAACCTGGAAGAGTGGGTCTGGAAGTGCGCTGGCCTCAAGCTGTCCTGCAGTGGGGACCCTCGTGGGGCAGCCATGCCGCCCAGGAGACCCTGAGCTTACAAAGTTCTTCCTTCAAAGTGCAGAGCAAAACCCACTGCACACCAGTGGGCTCTGTTTTTCAGGAGTACCCAGGGACTAATGGACACTTAAAGGAGACTTTTTCTCTTACATCAGAAAGAAAAAAGCAAATGCACCCGCACACCCAAAGTAGGCTTGCACTCCTGTTTCTTACACCTCCGACTCCCCCATCTCCAGAGGTCCCTGCATGAGCCTCAGCCTTCCAGAACATTCTCCCACCCAATTTGAGCAGTGAGTGACCAAGTGGGTTTTTGGGGGCCTGCTTTGTGCGTTAGTCTGCAGGGGAGGATAAGACTGTCAGAGAAAAGGGACAGGGGCTCTTGTCCTGAGCCAAAGGACTCCACAAGCCTGTTCTTCCCTCCCGGGTCTGTATCTGTGAAAAATGTGGTCCTCTTGAGCCTTGGGTGCATTTTCACCTTCTGTTTGCCCAAAGAAGCCTTGCAGGGAGCCAGAGCTGGCCAGGCCCCAGGCCTTGTGTTTTTCCCAAGTCGGTGACTTTTCGGGGTACCTGTGAGGAACTGCAACACCCAACCCACGCAGTGTCCAAGAGTAACCCGCATTACCCAAGATTTCTTTTTTCTAACACTAATGACCTCTTGGACTGGCCGTAATGGGTCCAAAGGCAAAACAGCTGCTTCCTCTCCTTTTTTTCCTATGGCCTCACTCCCCCCTCCTTTCCAGCAGCCAGGCCTGTCATTAACTCTGTCTTTCTCCCAAGAACACGATGGAAACTTTTCCCATAAGAGTCTGCAGCTGCAGTAGGCCAACTAGTAATAATCACACCTGAAAAGAACGAAATGAACCTCAACTTGGTACCCACCTCTCTAGCTCTTCCAAGAGAGCTTTCCCTCTGAGGAGTGGGGAGCGTCACTCAGCCAGCTGAAGGACAGGACACAGCAGACTGCCTCCTCCAGATCCAGCTGGGCTGTTTGTGAGCTTGTGAGTGGCAGGCAGCCCAGCCTTGGGGAGTGGTCACCAAGAGGGAAGAAGGTCATTGGACTGGTCGAGGGAGAGGAAAAGCCAGCCAAGCATCCCTCGTGGTAAAATTGCCTCACCTCCTCCTCCTCCTCCTTCTTGGTCTCCACGCCCCCACCCCTTCCCATTGCTGGGTTCTCTTGCCAAGCATGAGTTTTCAGACTTCCCTAGTTTGTGCAGACGTAGCCAGTGACCTTCAGCATACACCAGGGGAGTCAAAAGGAGGAAGAAAACAGCTGGCTTGGAGAGAGTTACAATGGACTCTTTCTTGAGAGGCCTTTTATTTTTCCCTGATTTTCTCAGCGACCCACTTATTTTTGCTGGATGTTGACGTGTTTAAGACAGACACAGGCACCTGGCAACTGTGTGTGACGTTCTCTCCAGAACTGTGCCACCACACCTGGGAGAGGTGAGCACCAGGTGTGGTAGTGGTTGCATGATCAGGCTAGGGAGCCCCAGCTTTGTCACCTCCTGCCTGTGTGCTGCAGTAACAATGATGTCCCTCTCTGAACTTCTCTCTCTGTAACTGAAAAATGGCTGCAGAATGCTGGCTACCCTGCATGATCACTGCAAAGATCAAATGAGAGAAAACATGACAGTAATGGTAGCACGATGGCAGTCGTCACTGCTTTATTAAGGCCAGGGAGGAGGATGTTACAAGGATGCATGGTCTGGGGGAACCATGAGCCTTTCCCTCCGGGGTACCTTTTTCCTTTACTGCCTTGAACTACTCACCATAGCAGCTCTTTCCAGAAATAGAAGCCTCTTTCCCAGAAAAGCCCACACGGGAAAAGGCAGCTTGTGCTACCTGTCTGTTCTCCTAGGTTCTTTCAACAAATGGTTATTGGGTGCTTGCTCCCTGCCAGGCACCCTGCTGTGTACCAGGGACTGCAAGTTCAATCCCCCTGTCCTTTGGGAGTCACACTCTGAAGAGAGATTCAGCTAGGGAGAGAGGGTCAGGGACCCCAAGACTCCCAGCCCCAGCCCTGGCAGCAGAAAAGCTCAAATAATTCAGCTCTCTGGGCCCCACCCTGGGCTGAATGAATCAATCCCCAGTGGCCTCCTAGAGTCATTGTTTATAAAAGCGGGTGATTCTGATGGGCAGCCAGGTTTGGGAACCACTGCTCAGCAGAAAGAACCCAAAGGAAAGCTCTCTGTCCAGAGAAGCCTTCCAGAAGATGAGGTGGAGACTTGCCAGGATGCAGGGGCACTAGCCCTCTGCCCTGCACCCAGTCCTGGGCCCTAGATGCTCAGGTATGGGCTCCATCCTGTAGATCTGCAATCTGCTCATGGGCATATTTGGCCTCACTAATGAGTTTCCGGAGTGTCAGAGGCCACCTGCCACCCATGCCATCCTGCCACATTCTGGCCTCTCATTGTGAATGTTTCATCCAGTTAAAAAAAATTCTTTATTTCCATTCAGTTGTTGACATTATGGTATAAGCTCATGGCTACTGTCTCAGAGGACTCTTCAGTTAGCCTTTCATTCCCTTTACCGTCCACGGAAACCCCTCCATTCTGGTACTCGAGGGTCAGTGTGAAGGTCCAAATGCACTTTTATTTCTCTGGCCTCTAGGGGAAATTTGCCTTTTTTTTTCTCACCCCTACCCTTATGACAATCTGTCCCCCTTCTTCATCAGTAGAACATCAATGTCCCTTGAGAAGCCATGGCAGCTCAGTCCAGCAGGTGGGGTTGGCTTAGACAGATCCACCATAGTTCAGGGACAATCCATTCAGAGACTATGAGATGCAATGACACTCTTCCTGGGGCTGTTCAAAGAGATGTGTCCTCTTTTTCCCATTGGACTTGAACCTGGAGAGACTAGAGTTATCATAGCCTTCCTAACAGAGAAGGAAGTGAAATAAAAGCAGAGGGAAATATGGACTCCATGACAGTGTTTGAGCCCCTGGATCTAGCCACACCTGAAGCTCTGTTTTCATTATATTAGTCCATACATTCTCATTTTGCTTTGGTTGTTTAGGGTGGATTATCTAAACTTGAACCTGAACACTTTATGAAGCACTTTCTCACACAATACATTACTTACTGCTGGCACTAATTTTGTGGGGTGGATATTAATCCATGTACCTTGTAGATAAGAAAATCAGGGTCATAACAAGAATGATAGGGCTCAAAATGCAGAACTTCAAAATAGCAAAGTCAAGATTTAAATCCTAAGCCTGGCCTCTTAATTATTACATTTTTATTACCACCATCCTAGTGGGGAGATGAGAGTTAGAAATAGGTAACAGATGAGTACAAATTTTTCACTTATCTCTGTAATATCAGTGACAGCCTTGCAAAGAAGATATTGCACAGCCATTAATGTATAACCCAACAGAAAAGAGGCCCTTGTTAAGCAGCAGGAAGGGGGAGGACATTCCAAATCATTCCTTCTGCCCTTGCTTTCTGCTCAGGAACTCTGCACCTTGTCTGCATGAATACCCATGGTAAGTAGTTTCCTTTTCATTATGCTTAGAAAACTGTAGAATTAAATTTCAGGAAAAATAGAGTTGTTCCCATCAGAGGAAAAATTTTGAAAGCAACAGTGAGGGTTTCAGATAACCTCCCTTCAAACCAGGCTTCATGCAATGATGGTTTACCCAACCAGCGTACTTCAGACACACCTGAGAAAATTTCAAGTGTGTCTTGCTCACTTGGCGTTTTCCCAGAAGCTCCTGGGGAGTAGCAGTGGAACCGGAGAACTGCATAGTTCAATCTTGGATGCTGTAGTCTAGAGAATATAGGAAAAACTGGACAGGAAGAGAAGAGGCATCATTCTTTTGAGTAGAAGTAAAATAATAACGTGTAAGTTCCTCTTGCACGTCAAGCACTTGCAAAAGCAACTCACGTTCATATGAATCATGCCACTTTTCAGTGAAGAAGAGAGATTGCATTCTGGTCATGATACATTTTGGAAAGTTTCCTTTTGCTGTGAGCAGGTCACCCTTCCCTTTATATGTGGTCTTGTGAAGAGAATGAAGCAAGGTAAGACACAAAAGGAATGCCTGTTCTGGTCACTGGTCAGAAGGCCAGTGTGTGCAGAATATTCCCCCAGGAGCTACTGGGATGAAATCCCTCATGGCCTTGACTTGCCTCTAGCTCGACTTCCTCCTCAGGCCTGTGAGAAAACTCAAGCCCTTTCTGCTTTGCACTATGAAAACAATATCGCAATATAGAAACTTGCAAGTATATCCAGCTTAGCACTCCACTTAGGGAGAGAGAAACATTCTTTAGGTTATAGATTTCACATTTATTTGACAAGCAACCATTGACCCAAACAGCCATACTCATCCCTCTTCTTGCCTCCTCCTACTCTAGAACCTGGAAAGTGGAGACTTGCTTTCCCAGAATCCCTTTCAACTATGGTGGTCATGTGACCCAGTTATAACCAATGAGAAATACCTCATGTGACTTTGAGGAAAGCTTTTGCTTTGTTTATGCAGGAGACAGAAATGATTAATGCCTTTCCCTTTCCTCTTGCCTAAAATGTGTCCATGATGCCTGGCAAGGTGGCAGCTACCTTGGGACTGTGAGTTGACCAAAATAACAACATAAGGCCATCATGCCCAGGATGATGGAAGAGAAAGCTGGAGAGAACTTAGGTCCTCAAAGACCCCCCTGAGCACCTTAAACAACACCAGCACAGTGTTAGGTTTCTTGTGATAGCTGAGCATAAATCTCAGTTCAATCCACTGCTAGTGGATTTCTGTTACTTGCAGCCAAATGCATGCCTAACTGACACAGTTACATGCCAGACCTTGCATTGGGGTTGGGGTGTGTGTGGCATGACTATAATGATGTAGAAATGACAGCCTTATTTGAAGCCTATATCTGAAGGGGTCATAGACCCTTCCCAGTATCATCTCTTGTCAAGAGATGAATTTGTCCATTTTCAACCCAGCTAGTTTCTGAGGAAGGACTTGAATTCTTTGAGCCTTCAGGCTAGTGACCTTGAATCTCACCAGTCCCAAGTCTCCACAGTCCATCCCTTCACCTCCCCCTGCTGACCCTCATATACACCCCACAATTTCAGCATCAGGAAGTGTTATATTCTCCCCAGTCTGAAATCCAGCTTGGCCCAGTCCCTTTCCTTCACATTCAGAAAAGTTCAGACAAACAAAAATTGGCAGAAAGTCCCCCCCTGAAAGCTGACAAACTGCACATGCATTGCCACAGGAGGGGACTAGGATTGGAGAACAGAGGGGAGATGGTTTCTCTACTCCTGGGATTATGGAAAATCATGGTAGAAAGGAAGTGCCAAGGAAAGAGAGGACCTCTGGCTCCACCTCTGTTTTAGAACAGTGATTAAAAAGTTAAAATGCTGATAGGATTCAATAAAGATCATATCAAACACCCCGGGAAGAAAACGGACCCAGCCATGTGTCTCACTCAGAAAGTGAATCCAGTCTGCTTCAGGCCATTCTTAATTGATGGTTCCAAATGGAGTGTGACATAACCACTGTCACAGCTCCAAACTGCCATCACCCACTAAGCCAGCTGGAGATGTGGAACCATGGGGCCAGAACATCTGGAAGATTAGAAGGTCCTACGTTACAGCTCCAGTAGGATGTCTTGAATTTTATTTCACAGAATTTTGGAGCAATCTTATAAGGCAACTGATGTCCTCTAGCTCTTCTTTTCCTGGAGACAAATAAGACATTGAGTCTTAAGTTGCCTTTCTCCCAGTGGGGATCTTTAGGAGCCACCGGAGGCCTCAGCCAGGGACCAAAGCAAGGGACTTTTAGCATGGCTCCCTCAACTTCTGTCAATCTTAGCAGAGGAATATTTTCAAGATGGGTTTCCTCCCTGAATCTGTTGCAACAAATCAGGAATTTCTCTCTCATTGGCTTATTTCCATCAAAAGCCAAAGCAGGAAAGATGGCATCTATTGGCTCGGCTACTTTATTTTACTTACAGAACATTCTGATTGAGCACTACTGACCAGAATGACAT